GCCATCAGAAAAGTTGCCGGACAAAAAGCCAACCAGCCCATCCGTGATCTTAGTGTTTTTGCAGGCACTGTCAGGTGAGGGACCCTTCGCAGGATTTTTAGAAGGGCACAGCTTGGAGACACGTTCGTCCACTTTCTTCCAGGTCTCCAGCACCTCCTTCACCCGCTCCAGCTGCGCGGTCAGACGCACAGACCAAAGGCTGTTTGATGATTCTCCATCGCCCTTCTTCTTCTCGTACAGTGCAATCAACCCCTCCTTATTCTCCTCTTTATTAGTATCTCCACTTCCATCACTTTTGTACAACAGGGAGCTGGCGGCAACATCTTCTTCCTTCCCTGACACCGGCCCAATATAAACAATGTGCGTATTGTCCGTCAGCCAAAGATGGAGTTCACTCTTTCCATTGTCTTCTGTATCAGTCTCCTCGGAATACACCGGCAGAGTAACGAGCATCACTTCCTTATTATCATTGCCAAAGGTCGCCGTGATGAACCCGCTTCTAACGCCCTTCTCCGTCCTTTTTGTTGTCCCACACGCGCGAGAGTGTCCCGAGTGCCTCCGTCCACGAATCCCCCTTGTCACCGGACTCGTACACTCTGCGGCGGCCATCATCACACGCAGTCATCATCATGAGTTTGTCCTTCTCCCGCTCCACCACGGAGGGATCACTGCAGCCATCATCAGACATCTCCTTCGACAGCTTCCAACTCTCAGCATCCGAGGAGTAAAGGATCAGCGAAACGGTAGTTGTCTTTCCATCCTCTTCTGTTTCATCATCCTTCTCCTTCGTGCCTTCCATGGGAAACACAAGTGTACCGTCCTCCATCTTAACACCCGATCCACCGCCTCCAATCAGTCGCTTCAAGGAGTTTTGTTGTTCGCCTAGAGTGCACGGGAGACCGTCAGTTTCCTTCCAATGGATTTGTTTGTTGCCGCCTTCACCGACCTCACCCTTCACCAGCAATATTCCCGATTTGATCTTCTCGGTCTCAGCCTGACAGTTAGCGGCAGCTTCATGGCTGTGTTTTCCAACAAGCATGTAAATATTACTTTCCTCCACAACTGCTGTTGGTCGGCTCACATCTACTCTCTTGCTTGTGGAATGGCATTTCTCCAGGAATTGTGTCTTATCTTTGGCTCCATTTAGCACTTCCATTGGTTCGTTACCTGTTTCCGTGACAATTTGGGATGCAATGCCAGAAAACAAGTTATCGTTACCTTCCTTCGTCTCTTTGCACTGCGCCTCGGAAACAGCAAATACGTCACTTCCAACTTTTAAAAGGCTGGGAAAGCTAAAAGATTCCACGGTTACACCTCCACCGTCATTCTTGAGGTCTTTCCATTCAAACTGGGGATCAGATGGCTGCTCCGCAGCTTCTGCAGCCCCACCAGTGTCGCAGCACATCCACATCACGGCGAGGAGGAGCAGCACCGAGAAATTAGGCACACGCCGGGACATGTTGGGCCTCTGCGGCTCACTCTCTCTTCCTTCCCTCCTCCTTCCGCTCGATCCGGTCACGCGGCGACGGTTGTGTGTGCGGGGTGCCTTCACCGCAGCAACACGTGAGAGCATATAAATATGTGTGTGTGTGTTCGTGCTGTTGGTCCTTTCAGTGCCCTCGAATTTCACAGTATCGTTTAGCGCTTTTTTTCCCTTCTTTGTGGGGGTGAGAAAAAAATAAAGGAAAGCATGTCAATAAAAGAAGTACAACAGTAACCACCGTCACCCATCCACAGTGAGTGGCATCACCATCCCCGCCGCAGTCACTCCCAACAGCAACAACTCACGCACACAGACACAAGGAACAGCAGAAGGAAGATCACTGCACCGGGAACACACAGCGACTGTCACCACCACCAGCAGAAGAAGCTACGGCAGGTGATTCTTCCATGCGTCAGCACACACCGAGAAACACCAACACACAAAACAGCAGGCAGGATGCGAGAGAACACGACCGTCCTTCGCAAAGCCCACGCGCTAATTCCAGTCGTTTTACTGTTCACCCCTCCAGCGCATCCGCCAGCGCACATCACCCACGCAGGCGAAGAATCCCTGGCCAAAGTATACTCAGCATGGGAGATACACATTGGCACGTGCAGCTGCTGGACGAGAAGCAATCCGCACTTGTCCCTGGCACCCTAACCCACACCGCCCAATAGACTGCACGCCAGCAACGTGTCAAAAAATAAATCGCAGGCTCCCGTACTCCCTCCTCGCAAGGGACGTTGCAGCCAGAATCTTGTGCTTACGTCCGTTCTCAGCAATCACGCCGCTCTACAGCGTATGCATAATGGCATGTTTGTGTGTTTGTCAAAGCCTGTACATGCAGAGCAGCTGTGCGGCACAAGAGAGTCCAAAGAAGGCAATGGAAGAAAGAGAGGCAGATAGCACACAAGCAAAAATTACTCAAATCATCATACACACACACAGCCCACGGAATGGGAGCACTCAACCACAAAACAATGAAAAACAAAACAAAAAGCCGCGGCGTCAGACGACCAGCGCACACACTCTCATTGCTCCCGTAAAGCAAAACACACACACAGGGAGAGAGAGAGAGAGGTCGCCCACTCAATGCAATGGAAACAAAACAGAAACAGTTACGGTGCTCCGCCCATGCAGCCAGGCAGGACGGCAGCGGTGCGTGTCGTGCAAAAGAGAGCACCAACGGGCCTGCATGGGTGTGCATGCATATATACAATGGGCACATTATGTGTGTGCTTCGTGGGATGAGGTGAGGGCGAGAGTCCATGCAAGGGGACACACACAGAGAGTGAGTGAAGGACGAGTGTGTGTGTGGGCGCTGCACGGCTCTCTCTCCCTCACTCTCACGCGGCCACCACCGCAGCAGCAGCCGCACACGCAACAAGAAGAAGAAGCAAAAGAGGGGAAGTGTTGTGGGAGGCCGCGGTGCTGTCACTGTTTTGTGTATTCGTCGTATCATTTGCAATAGCTGTGGTTTTTATTGGTGTTTCTTTTTTATTGTCATCTTTATTTCCATCATCTTTTGCTGCTTCCGGTACTGCATCAACACCTGCCGTATTTTTATTGGAAATCTCCTCTTCAGTAGCCTCGTCAGGGCCGTTACTGGCGGCAACACTTTTCTCTGACAAGCGTGATGTTGGAGTTGATTCGGCATGGCTGTCAGATGTTCCATCCTGTTGTTTGCTTGTGGTGAGAACACTGTCTTCCTTTCTTGACTCACTCTCTGACTCCCGGCCGATTTGAGCTTTCTGTACCTGTTGCACTGAAAAGACATCTGCAGAGTTGGGGTCTTCATTTTTTACTTGTGGTGTTGGTACTGATTCTGTTTCTTTCTCGCTGCCATCCTCTCGTTGATTTTGTTGTTTTTCGTCTGGCACCGCGGCACGAGATGCTAAATCATCGCCCGAATTCTCTGCATTGCCCTCGTCAGCGTTATTGGTGACAGCACTATTGTCATCGGCCGCAGAAGATGATGAAGTTGATTCCCCGTGACTCTTAGTTGTCGCATTTTGTGTGGCAGCTGTTGTTGGTATTTTGTCTTGTTTCAGCAGATCGTCGGCTGGCTGCGTGCTTTCTGTGTCCTCCTTTGATGGTGACGATGCGGTGTGAAATGATTCCTTCGGTGATGGAGCTGCTGGAGCGGCTTCCTTAACTGGTTTTTCTGGCAGTAGATCCTCTAACCGCTCTCCTTCTGCTCCTGCTCCCGCAATTCCTGACGGTTTGGGTTTTGTCACTGAGACTGGTTTTGGAGCTGCGGCTGCTGGTTTTGCGGCTCCATTTGTATTTGTGTATTGGCCGTCTCCTTCTGTTCCGCTGGCTTCGGACGATCGAGAAACTTCAGAAGACAACTCAGAGGATTCTTGTCCCGGAATGCCAGCAGCTCGACCACTACTCGAAGAGAGCAGTGAACCATCTGCCTCCGGCTGATTCTCCGGTACTTTCATCGCATTGGAGTTTGTTAGATGTGAATCATCTAACACATTTCTCTCGGACACACTCTTGTTTTCATTGCTCATTAATTCTCCTTCAACCTCTGACTCATTCTGTTTGGTGACGGGCGGTTCTTCAGGCCGCAGTTGTTCTGATCCCAATTCTGCTCCTCCTCCTGCACCTCCTTTTGAAGATTTCCCTGCAATCTCCAATGCCGCGTCCTGTAAAGGGCCTTGCGTTTCCTGGCCCGGCAGTGGTAGAGGTGTTCCAACGGAAATATCTTTGGGCTGGACATCTTCAACATTCTCAGCGACCAGCGCATACCGCTGACGCCTCCAACGACGACGGCCATCCACAACGGCACGCACACCGTCCATTCCCTCACGCACGCATTCCTCAACGGCGGACGCATTCGCACCGCCTCCTGTCCTTCTGCTGACCTCCTCCTCGCATTCCCTCCGCATCTAAGTGATACAACGCAACAGCAAATACTCACCCGCACTGCCATTGGCAGCGCCAGCACAGTCGGCCGCAATTCCAGCAATCGCGCACCACAGCACGCAGAGGGCACACACCAGCAGCAAACGGCCAGTCATCCTCATCGCCATCACTCCTGTCACTTACGTGCAGCCTTCGGCACAAACTAACTCCCCGCCACCGCACAGTGAAAGCAAAAAGGAGAGACACGGCCGCTACACCACGCACAGCCACCGCACAGCAACAAATGGCAGCACCCCAGCAGCAGCAGCGCACACACCACGAGACAGATGGAATCAGTACGATTGCTGAGCTCGCACACCGCCCTGCAAACCAAAATTTTAAAAAGCAATAAAAAACAATAAAAAACAATAATTAAAAAGAAAAGAAAAACAAACCCAGGGCTCCAGTGCGCATGCTTATGAGTGCGTCCGCGATGCGTTCAACGTGGCGGATGCGGGGCACAACGCGGAGCACACAGCACGGCAGCAGAAGCAAGTAAAGCAAAACACAATCATTATTTTCTCCTATTTTATACAGTGGACCACAACACACGCACACAAACCCCGCGGTTGGGTGCTGGCACGCACAGCCCGCACACACCTCTTCAGCCCACAGTGGTGTACGCCAGCGCGGATGCGGCGAGCAGCAGCGGGGCACACACCCACGCAGAGCTGCTGAGGCTGCCGTCGATTTCGCGAAGACGTGACGGTGCACGGGTGGTCGACACAGCTGGCGCCTCTGTAGTCGTAGTACTTGGTGCCTCTGGCGCAGTAGTGGTTGTCGTAGTTGGCGCCTTTGTTGTAGTCGTGGTCGTCGTAGTCGTCTGGGCAGGATCTTCGTCGTTCTGAACTGTTTGGTCTGCGGATTGATTCGTGCCACCCTGTGATCCAGTCTTACTGTCCGTTCCTTTTCTCTGTAAGGCATTGGACACTTCAATTGATTGTTGTCCCGAACCGGTAGATCCTGGTGTCCCTGGCGCATTATTTGTTTGTTCCACAGCGGTATCCAAACTTGGCTTCCCCAATTCCCCTTTCACATTAGGTTCCTCCCCTGGTGCACGGGACACTGGACTGGCGACATTTCCATTAGCAAGAGACATTGTGGTTGGTGCCGCTGTTGTAGTCGTCGTGGTCGCATTGGAAGGATCTTCAACCGGTTCACTCTCTGACGCACACACGGACGGGCAGCAGCACAGGGCAAGCACCAACAGGGCGCACAGCAGACGGCACGTCATCATCATCGTGAATGTGGTCGTTCAGTGGTGTGGAGCTTATCTGCACAGTGAGGGATATGGAGAGCAACAGGGGAGACGAGAGATGCGGCAGACACACACAGAGGGCACACCACATGAGGAGAGGGCAGCAGCCAGGCATGCACCGTACGCCGCACACCACGCACGACACACACTCCAATCCACGGCAGCAGGCACACACACACACACACACACACAGCCCTGCCGCAACACCAACACAAAGATGGAAGAGGGAGAAGCAAACAGGAGCGGCACACAAGGCTCCACCGCATGCACATGCGGCGAGAGCGGTCCGTCGTGTCTGCACCCCTCACGGAGGGTGCGCACACACAAGAAGGTGCAGCGCACACAGCAACACAAAAGCAAAGTAACAATAAAAAAGGAGATCCCCGCACACCACGCGGGTTGTTGGTCCACGGGAAGTGCAACCAATATTCATCACAAAGCAGCTTGTTATCTTGTTTTGGTTGTATGCTGCTACAATAACGAGTGAGTAGCGCAAGGGCCGTCCGTACAAAAGTGGCAAGTATTCCGTCGCAAACGGGTCGTCGTGCGGGCTGGGGCAGTCCCACACAGTCGCAGTCCCAGATTCCCAACAACGAGGGCATTCCCGCAGTGGATGAGGCAGAGTCTCCCGTGGTCCGTCGGGGGATCAGCAGCAAGTGGCGTCTGTGATGAGGCGGTGGCGGAAGAGCCTGGTCCATCTCGAGTACCCGCCTTTGTGCTTCCTGCGTGTCTTGCCTGCCGGCATGCTTGGCAACTTCGGTGCCGACCTGCGCGCGAGGCACCTGTTAAGAAGACGGTGGAGCCATTGTGGCATCCGCATGGGAGGCCCTCTCAAACTATTATAACGCCAGGCTGAGCACGTCGGGCATGTGCCCTCATACTGTGGACGGACAAGTGCACTCTGCTGCAGGTTGGGCAGGAGGACGTCAATCCGCCGCTCGCTGGCAGGCAAGGAGTTGCGGTGCTCATGTCGGGAAAAAGGTTCCGGCGGAGCCAGAGGCGGGCCGCTCACCGCAGTCAGGGAGGGATGGCACCACCGACACAGAGGGTTCCTTGTGATCCGCAGGGCGCGTGCAGGCCTGTCGAAGAGTGGGCAGGAGTCGCATCGCGCCTGTGCGCAGTGCCGCCACTCGGGGACCGATGTCCGGGTCAACACCAGGAATAGAGTCCTCGCCACACCGACAGCCGCCTGTCACGCGGTGTGCGCGGCTCCCTTTTCCTCCTGCACATCCTTCCAGTATAACCTCTTGACGGCGGTAAGGAAGTCCACATGCCAGGCATTGACGCAGTCCTGCGAGAGGGATCGTGCAATCGTGACTTCGTCGTCAGCGGCCTCATTGCGTGGAATACCGCAGTGTGATGGAAAAATATAAGATCCACAGGGTGAACTCGCTTCACCAAGGAAAGCAGCATAATCCAAATTTACTCAGTAACGCGGTCTCGCACGGTCGGTGAGCAACGCGGGGTGCCTCAATTGCCGAGAGGGAGTCCGTTTCCTCCAGCATTCGTGTGGGCGATTGGGATGTTCCCAGACAAGGAGGTATGAGATGTCTAAAAACATTTTCGATCGCAAGGCAGTCTGCCCTATATGAGCATGCGAGGCTGCCAGCTGCTGCACGATGTACCTCCACAGGGAGATCATTTGTCGTGGTGGAGTCATATAATAGCGCAGCGGATCCAGATGCGAGTGCAGCGAGATATGAAGAACCGTCCGTCCACAATTCAAAATCACAATCCCCCAAAGAGGAGTGAGTAGAATCAAAAGCCGTGCGCCTGACATCGTCAGAGGCGTCTTTGGCAAAGAGTGGCTGATAAAATCTCACTTTTTTGCAGATCACAGTGTCCCAGGGAAAAATTCGATGTTGGGCAAGAGGCGCGCGAATGTGGTTGTGGGGTGTCCCAATAATGTCACAGACGCGTAGCAATCCATTAATAACAGCATCTCTCGGAAGCGGGATCGATGTCGCTGCTTTCCCATGAATGGACGGCGGCATAGGTTCCGAGTAGATAAGGGAACGCAAATCCTCGTGATCATGGAAGCGTATATAGCGTTCGTATTGTGTGAGTGCACGACGCCAAAGTATCTTACGGAGCGGAAGAATATTGGCTTCCAAATAGACAGATGTGTCTTCCGTAGATGCGCTCAGGCAAAGAATGTTTTGCTACCGTCGCGGTACCGTACTTCCATATTATGGAGGTAGCTGGGGGCGAGTCACGGGACAATTGCCTCGCCATTATGAAATAGCACACCATGAACGTACCCAATCAAAAAGGATCGCATGGTGTGATGGGACGCGCCCGCCTCTGCGACCAGACGCAGCTGATAGCGGCGTGGCATGGTCCTCTTTGAAGCGGTGGAAGCATGCGTAACAAAATTAAGAAGTCGATCAATCGTTCTGCCCAGTAAGCGCAATGGGCGTGGCTGAATACGTAGGTTCCGCTAACAAGATGAAGATCGACCATGTCCTCGTCAGACCGTGTGTGTGTGAGGAGATGTAGAATAGAGCAGCTTCGCTCTTATCAACGTTGATTTTTAGGCTGTGCTCGGCAGCCCATGTGGCCACAAGAGACAAGAGCGGTCGCATTGCCGCAGCACAGGCATGGATGCCCGCACCTGAGGCAACAAGTGTGTGTTCGTCAGCGTACATGAATGCGGAGGCAGAATAGATGTTGCCCAGGCGGCGCAGCAGATCATCCACACAGTAGAGGAAGAGTTGGGGTCCCGGGACGCCGCCTTGCAGTACTCCAGCTGAGGCGAGTTGTTTCCGGGAGTGCTGTTCGCGAGTGCATACCCTAACATAGCGGCCCCGCAGGTAGTTGTGCAGCCAGCGTTTGGTTCGAGGGCCAAGGCACGGAAGTCTGTCAAGCATGCAGAATAACTTCCCATGGTCAGTGGTGTCGAACGCAGTCGAAAAATCAATCAAGACTACGAGCGGCCGATGGTGTCGTGTGGGGCGTCGTCTCCGGGGCGCTCATACTCCACAATGCCAAACTCATTCAATCCACGGGTAATTTATCGATAACAAGTGCTACCACGTCCGACGTAGAACGCGGAGGTGCAAATCCAAAATTGGCGTGGGTGGTGCGGCAATAACGCTGACAGACGGCGGTGAATCATTCTTTCGGTTAACTTTGGTAAAACAGAGAGTGGAGTGATAGGTCTGTAACTCTCTGGGCGGCATGGATCCTTCCCAGGCTTGGGGATAGGAATAGCGTCTCCCATTTTCCAGGAGCCAGGCAGGCCGCCATTTGCGAAGGAGTTGTGGATCATCGTTCTAAGTGTGCCACGCGCAACGGGCCCGAGACGGTGCAGGAATTCATTCAACATGTCGTCGGAGCCAGGGGCTGAGCCAAGCAAAGAGTCACGGATGGCCACGTCAAGTTCATACGGCAGGAAAGGCCGATCCATTTCCCAGCCACCAGGAAACAAAGGAGTGCAGCAAGCAGCAGCAGCAGTATAAGGCGGTATGGCACGTGAAACCGCACAAAATGACGGACAAGCAGATTTGCCTGTTGCCGAGGCAGGGCGCATACGCGGCCAAGTTCGGTGCGGAGCACAACCGATTCCAGAGGATGAGGGTGCGGCGCCGCCACGCCGTGAAGATATCGCCAGCTCGGGCTGGGTGAAGCTCCACGTCTTTTCGCGCGGGCTTCCAGAAGCACAGCGGAGCAACGGCGTAAGGCTTGGTTTCGTTCCTCCTTTTTTTCGGGTACATTCGGCTCAAAGTAGGCTGTCTCCGGGTGAGGCAATGTGTGTGCTTCGTGTGCTGCTTCGGCGGCGGACTCGGCTTGTTCCATTTCGTGTGTCCATATCTTTTTTGGAGCTGTCACGGCTGCCGCGCGGGATATGGCGCTCAGCTGCTCGCAAGATGCCTCCGCGAAGATCCAACCATGTGGACGCGGTGGCAAGGAGAGTTTCACACAACGATGTAAAAGCAGGCCAATCCGCTTTACGCAGGGCAAAGGTGGCTTTCGTCCGTCAAGGCAGCGTGTTTGCTAGTCGTGGAGTGCCATCATCCATCTCTACCAAGTAAGATATTCAGCAGTGGTCCGAGTTTATGTAAGGGGCGAATGTCCAGTGGGAGATGCGTAGGGCGCAATACGCAGTCACGTCAGGGGACGAGGCATTACGATGTGTGATCCGTGTTGCCTGCGCCGGGTCATTTGCCAGCCCAAAATCCATATCGATCAGAACAGCGGCGAAATCATCGCCTCCAGTCGTTGATGGTATATGTGACTGTCCCAGAGTTCACGATGTAAATTCAGGTCACCCGCGATAATCTCTTCGGGCCCAAGCGACAAACGATATTGATAAATGCGGATTATTGACCAATTGTTGTGGGAGGGTTGTAGAGATTCGCCACGCAAATGTTGGGACAGCCTGGTGGAAATACACGGACAGCAATGGTCTCCAGGAGGTCAGTGCCAGCGAGCGACAGGCGCTCGCACGGTGGAGAGTGGCGCACCAGAACGGCAACACCACCACCGCGCCCAGTGCGGGCCTGAAGGTAGTCATTATGGCCAGATAATTTCGTCGCAACGTCACCACGGTTATTTATTTCCTGCAGAAGAACGATGTCAGGTGGACGCTGCTCCAATCGCGCAGCAAATGCAATCTTTTTCACGGACGAGAGGCCTGCAATGTTAAGCTGCCTAATATTGATGAAGCCATCTTCCTTGGTGCCATGGTTCTTGTGGACGTCACCGCCACGGGTGATATCAACGGAGTGACCGCTGCGAAACGGTCGTGCAGTTCTGTCCGACAGTCTGCAGGCAGACCGCCTCACCTCCCCACACCGGGCATGGCGTGGAACCTTCTCGAGGGGTGAAGTCACCTTGGTCTCCGTCGTGCTCGCAGCAACGCCCTGCTGCGGAGTTCCTATACGCAACCAAAGCCTCAGCACCGCGACAAGGCGCAACATCATCGCTGGGGACCGTGGATACTCGCAACGGATGGCGGTGTTGACGTCCCCAAGTCAGCCGGGATTGGCATACTGCTCTCATCCCTGCATTCCTCGAAGATAATAGAGAAAGTCAGTACCAACTGCGGCACACGCCCATGCAGCCGCACGAAGGAATCCCGTGCACTGCTCCCGGCCATGGAAAGGCTGAGTGTCCATCGTATCCAGCACAGGCAAAAACCCTGCTTGTGGTTACAGACAGTCAGTCTCTTCTAGCCGCCGTCACCAAGGGCCCGCGCAGCCACACCGACTGGACGGAGGATCGGCTCTGGCAGCGTCTCTTGTCACTGACGCGTGCCGGCTGGTCCGTGCAGCTGCAGTTTTGCTACGAACATCGCGGAGTACATGTTAACGAGCCTGCAGATCATGCGACGCAGACCACGGCAACCGGGCAATACACGGAACATGGAATAGCACCAATATGGCACACGGACCTGCTGTCATGCATTCACACCCAGCTCACCAACAAGTGGCGTAGTACCATGCATCAGGACACCCACCACTACCTGCTTGGCGGCGCCAGGCCATCAGATCCAGGCGGCAAGCACCTGATTACTCAGGAAGCCCTCGACCAACAGGAACGGACAAACATTGCATGAGCAGGGTGCGGGGAATCCGAGCTCTGGGGTCGACTATACAGGACTGTGAGAGACTGCACGAACCAACGCCGTTTCCGCAACATCTCATCGGAACACTCCGCTTTCATGCGCTCCAACGACGATCCCACTGCAGCGGGACGGAAGCTGTTCCCCCGACGACAAGGGAGGCCGACGCACCGCCTGTGGAGAGACGGCCCTCCACACGGCGTCGGAAGGAGAAATGCCCGCACTGTGACGCCACACTGGTGGGACACACGAACCACATCGGTCGCTGTCGATGCCTTCATCCGGAACGCCCTCCACCGCTTCCCGACCTCCACCGCGATTGCTGCGACACGGTCTTCCCCACACAAAAAAGGCACCGCACAGAAATCGCTGCGCACAAAACCCAGACGCTGATCGACACCGCAGCAGCAGTGCCAGGAGGCGATCACTGCTACCGCAGGATCAGCCAGCCTCCACAAGCGCAACAATTAGCCCGCAGAAAAAATTGCACCATCTGCTTCCAGAATGTACAGAAGCTCTGGCTGTGCGCCAACGGCTGGACATTAAGAAAGACCTTTGCACCGAAAGGTTCTCTCGATGGCAGTTGCCTCATAGCAGGAAACTCATGTCGCTGCTCGACCACCTCCTCGGCACCCTGGTGGCATTGTATAGCTAGACGCGCTGGTAAGAGAAGAAAAATAATAATAATGAGCATTCTCGCCACTATAGAGACGTGGTGCATCTTGCGATCCCGCTGGCGGCTCTCCTGTTCCACCGCTGTTTTTGCGCAACAATTCATCACAGTCATTTTTTTGGTTTGGTCGGCTTCGTGTTGCGCTCCGGGTTCTCCTCCTTCATCGCCCTGCGGTGCTTCCTTCGCCGTCCCTGGCACCTGTGACTGTCCCGTGACGGTTTGTTCCGAAGCCTGACTGCCCTGGGAGGTCCTCCCGCCACCAGCATGCACTCCACCTGCTGCCTGCTGAGATGCGTCGGAGCGTGGGGATGCTGTGCCTGCAGCGTGCCCTCCGCCCAAAGACTCTGGTCCACTTGCACGCATCCGAGCAGCAGACGCGCTGCCAGTGCCGGACGGATTGCAAGTGTTGCTTCGCAGTGGGTCGCTGCTGGATTGGTCCTGCCTCGTCGGAGCAGTGAGTGGTCCTCCCGAGGTGGGATTGTGGCCCTCACCCGCGGTGCTTCCTCCACCCTCCTCGTCTTCCTGATTGCTATTGTCCTCAGAGTTCACATTCCCCTTTCGTCCAGAGCCACCGGCCACGGGTCCACCTTCCGCAGCCATCGCAGCTTCCGCGTGCCCAGCAGCCACCGCGCCATCACCCGCGGCCGCACACGCACCCCGTCACTCACACGCACAAGCAGCTGCGCATCACTGCAGGAGCCAACAGGACGCAGAGCACACGGCCAGTCATCATCACAAACAGTGGAGTCGCCTAACGCTGCGGAGCCAACCTGCGATAACACGAGAAAACAAAAGGAGACACGGCCGCTACACCACGCACAGCCACCGCACAGCAACAAATGGCAGCACCCCAGCAGCAGCAGCGCACACACCACGAGACAGATGGAATCAGTACGATTGCAGAGCTCGCACACCGCCCCGCAAACCACAATTTTAAAAAGCAATAAAAAACAATAATTAAAAAAAAGAAATTAAAAAGAAAAGAAAAACAAACCCAGGGCTCCAGTGCGCATGCTTATGAGTGTGTCCGCGATGCGTCCAACGTGGCGGATGCGGGGCACAACGCGGAGCACACAGCACGGCAGCAGAAGCAAGTAAAGCAAAACACAATCATTATTTTCTCTTATTTAGTACATCGGACAACAACACACACGCAAAAATTCCCGCGGTTGGGTGCTGGCACGCACAGCCCGCACACACCTCTTCAGCCCAGAGCGGTGTACGCCAGCGCGGATGCGGCGAGCACCAGCGGGGCACACACCCACGCAGAGCTGCTGAGGCTGCCGTCGATTCTGTGAAGACGTGACGGTGCGTGGGTGGTCGACACAGCTGGCACCTCTGTAGTCGTAGTGCTTGGTGCCTCTGGCGCAGTGGTGGTGGTCGTCGTGGTTGGTGCCTTTGTTGTGGTGGTCGTCGTGGTCTCTTCGGTAGAATCTTCAGACACCCTATTTGCCCGTTCCTCGGATAGTCTCTTTTCACTGGGTAATTCTGTCTTATCCTTATTACCATCTGCCTGTAACGTATTGGACACCTCATTTGGTTTCGTTCCCGTACCGGTAGATCCTGGTCCTCCTCCGCCATCATTTCCCGGCTTTGCAACGGAACCCATAATTGACGACCTTGGCTGACCGGCGGTCCCTTGTGATGGATCTGGTGGTGAAGGCGGTTGAACGACAACAACATTAGATTTGAGTGTGGACTTCTCCTTGGGGACTGATGCCGGTGCTGTATTCGTCGTGGTTCCATTAGGAGGCTTTTCAGGCTGAGCGTCTGCCACGCACACGGACGGGCAGCAGCACAGGGCAAGCACCAACAGGGCGCACAGCAGACGGCACGTCGTCATCATCGTGAGTATAGTCGTTCGGTGGTGTGGAGCTGATCTGCACAGTGAGGGACATGGAGAGCAACAGGGGAGACGAGAGGTGCGGCAGACACACACAGAAGGCACACCACATGAGGAGAGGGCAGCAGCCAGGCATGCACCGTACGCCGCACACCACGCACGACACACACTCCAATCCACGGCAGCAGGCACACACACACACACACACACACACAGCCCTGCCGCAACACCAACACACAGGTGGAAGAGGGAGAAGCAAACAGGAGCGGCACACAAGGCTCCACCGCATGCACATACGGCGAGAGCGGTCCGTCGTTTCTGCACCCCTCACGGAGGGTGCGCACACACACAAGAGGAGATGCAGCGCACACAGCAACACAAAAGCAAGGTAACAATAAAAAAATGAGATCCCCGCAAACCACGTGGACTGTTGGTCCACGGGAAGTGCAGCCAATATTCACCACAAAAACAGTTCAGTTGCCGTAGGCCTTCGTCCACACTCATCGCACTCAATTTCATGCAGGCACGGACACCACCGCAGCAGCAGCCGCGCACTCAAAAATAAGCGCAGGGAATGGCATAAAGAAAGCAACCATTTATTTGTGTTTCTCTTTGGATGTTGACAAATGTCCGCACATGTTGTTTTGTTCGTTTAGTTTTTGCGGAGTACAAATCCTCATGCCTGGATCGTGTGTTGGGGATTTCCGCAAGGTGCAAAATTATTTTTTTCCTCTGGTGGATGTTTCTTGTGTTGTTGCAGCCAATAATTCGGTTTGTGTTGTTCCTGCTTTTCGATGGTAAGGTGCTGCAATAGATGCTTTTATTTTTCCTTTCGTTGCTGTGGCACCTGATTCCTCACCGTTTATTGTGGTGGAAATAAAAAATATGTGAGTGGACTCCCACACACCAGAGCGCACCTTCGCTCCTATTTATTGGTGCATGGAAGGGCATGTGTGTTTGGTGGTGTCTCGCCCATATATTTTGTGGGCGTACATTCCCCTGCAGGCTGAGGGCGGGATGACGCTCCGTCGCGGTGCACTTCCCTCGCATGCCGCCCGCTGTGATTCATCATGCATCACCCCCTCACACATTCCCCGTGGTGCCACACCGCTGATATTATTGCAGCCGCTGTGGTTCCGCGTATTTCACGCATTTGATTGTGCCACAATACATCCGCTCGTGTGGCCGCCGCATCCAAACAGCGGTGCCCAACACCGTGAGCGGCAGTCCACATCCTTGCATGTCCCAACGCAGTGGTGTCTGACTGTCAGCCAGGCGCCAGACAACAAGAGAGTCTTGTGCTGGCAGCACAGCACACGGAGCTGCAGTGAATGACTCGGGCGGCGACGCATCTATTCGTCGCAAGGCAGTGAAAAGGAGTCGGCAAAATAATGCCGGCTGCATTCACGACACCACATCCACAGCCAAAGCATGCAAAGTGATGTGTGTTTCACTGGTGGTGTGAAATGCCTGCAGACGACGTCACTAGTGGAGGCACGCCACCCATGATCAGCGGACAGACAATAATCGGCATGGGAGGCAAAAAAAGGCAGCAACGACGCCAGCAGCAGGAGTAGCTCTCTCTCTCTGTTGCCTCCGAGAAGTAAATATTCCACCAGCCACAGCTGACTGTGCCATCGTGACACTCCATGCACGTCGTGGCTGCGTCAACACATCCTGTTCCCTGCAACGCCTCAAAAGATGCCTCACTCCGTCCACTAAGTGCGTCGATGTGGGCCGTGCCTCGGCTGTTCGTGAGGACCACAACGATGTGAGGGTCACCGAGTCGCAGCATGTTTGTTGTGACGTTGTTGCATGGCACCTGCACACACACACACGCAGCGCCTGCATCCCTCCCTTTTGTGTCCGCCCTCTGCCGGAGTGGCCACACACACGGGCAGCAGCAAAATCACTTCACCCTCGACGATCCAAAATCAGCACCGACATCCCTCGCGACGCAAAGATCTTTGTTGCCAGCACGGGCTTCCTGTCGCTCCGCCATCGACGCTGAAACACGGCACAGTGCACGCACTTATTTTCCTCGTGTGCAGTCAGCCGTTTGCTTCACACATTTTTCGATGGGCTGACGTCCATAAAAGCACGCCACAAAAGGCCACCGTGATCGCACAAGCCATTGCGATGAGCGTCTGTGTGTGCGTGCATCCGCTGCTCACACGTGCTGGCAGGCAGCCTGCAGCCGGTGTCCTCGTGCCAGTCCATCGGCTCCAGCACGGAAAAGAGAAAATGGCCTATTCCCGATGCACCTATTCCCACCAGCAGCAACAACACGCTGGTCGCCAGCCGTCATTCCTCAGCACATCCAGGAATGCTGAAAAGTGACGTGGAACTGCCAGCCAGCAATGCCACAATCCCCGCACACATGTCGGCTCCACCAGAGAAGACACACAAACCACAAACAGCACCCTTCACAAGTCATCCAGTCATCATTCCGACACACCGCGACACGCCAAACAGAAGTAGTCGTCACTCCATGCCCCACGCACGGCAGCGGCTCACACGCGGTCAAACAAGTGTTCCTCGGATCAGTGATATACGCGTGCTGTGGTGGGAAGTAAAAAAAAGGGGACGGGCGGCCAGACCCCAAAAGAGTGCCACGACTGGCCGCAAGTCAACGGAACGCAGCCGCTCAAATGAATTCAGTCCTAATGCCCTCAGCCTCCCACCCTCCCCCACAAACGCCCCAAGAGCTGCAAAGCAAAAGTACCGTCCAATAAAGTCGCTGTGAAACAATAAAAGAAGCCGCAGTGCCACCTGCTGTCATCCGGGGCCGTTGATGACGTCTTCACGGGGACAGACACCCATCGGTGCTTACAAGCGAGGCTGCACACCTGCGACGCATCATACGGTTTGAGACGCACGACCCTCACCACAACCGGAGTTGCCGCGCGTTGTCGGCAGGCACCACATCGACAATAAAACAGGGATACGTCAGGATGACAACGAGGCAACCGCCGGCAAATCACATCGCAGGCAACATCAACAGCAGCACCAGAAGCGCTGCAGGCCGCGGGGTGACGTGGACCCACTGACGCAAGGTGTATGTGGAAGAGAGCAATTGGTGGCTTGCCAAAGACACAAGGGGCTGACACACTAATAACAAGAAAGAAACCGTATAAGAATGCAAAAAAAAAATCAGGCGTGCAAAAAGCAACCCACAAATCAATAAAAGTGCAATGAGTACACGCACCCACAACACAAGCAGAGACTCAAAGAAGAAAAACAGAAAACAAAACAAAAAGCCGCGGCGTCAGACGACCAGCGCACACACTCTCATTGCTCCCGTAAAGCAAAACACACACAAACAGGGAGAGAGAGAGAGAGGTCGCCCACTCAATGCAATAAAAACAAAACAGAAACAGTTACGGTGCTCCGCCCATGCAGCCTGGCAGGACGGCAGCGGTGCGTGTGGTGCAAAAGAGAGCACCAACGGGTATGCATGGGTGTGCATGCAATATATACAATGGGCACATTATGTGTGTGCTTCGTGGGGTGAGGTGAGGGCGAGAGTCCATGCAAGGGGACACACACAGAGAGTGAGTGAAAGACGAGTGTGTGTGCGGGCGGTGCACGGCGCTCTCTCACTCACTCTCACGCGGCCACCACCGCAGCCGCAGCCGCACACGCAACAACAAGAAGAAGCAAAAGAGGGGAGGTGGAGTGGGACACCGCGGTGCTGCTGTCACTCTCGGCAGTCGTCGTGATGTCTTTCATTGTCTCGGCTTTGGCTGGTGTTTCTTTCGTATTACTGTGCTTCTCTTCACCCTGTTCTCCTTCTTCTTTCCCTGCGTAATCGAATTCCGGTGCATTCCTCGGCATCGCCACTTCACCGCCTTTTTGAGCCTCATTAATTGAAGTGTCGGTGGCAGCTGAGGTTGATTCCGGCCCTTCCGTCGTATTTGCTGGTGAATCACCCGCTGGTGCTCCCGGTTTTGATCCCATTCCTGCTGCGCCGCCCTTCGGTGCTTCTGGAGTTGCTGCTGCCACCTGTTTTTCCGCATCAGGCGACGCTTCGGGTAGCTGTGTTGAGGAATCGACGGCCTTATTTGGATCGCCAGTGCGCTTCTTGCAAATCCCCTCAGCTCTAGGGCCACGAGATTTACTCGGCGTCTCATCATCGCCATTGCCACAAATCTCCTTCATCGATTCATGTATACAGCTCTTAAACCCCAACAGATCCAACTTCCTTCCTTCGTATTTTTTTTCTCGCAATTCTTCTCAGCCTCAGGATACCAAGTTAAGACCATATCCTCCTCCACAACACTTCTGTCACTGACAAGGCCATAAGCCGCTGGCACCACAACACCACACCACAGCACGCAGAGGGCACACACCAGCGGCACACGGCCAGTCATCATCGCCATCACTCCTGTCACTTGCATGCAACCTTCAGCAAAAATAACTCCCCGTCAACAGAGAGAAAGCAAAAAAACAAACACGGCCGCTACACCACGCACGGCAACAAATGGCAGCACCCCAGCAGCAGCAGCGCACACACCACGAGACAGATGGAATCAGTACGATTGCAGAGCTCGCACACCGCCCCGCAAACCACAATTTTAAAAAGCAATAAAAAACAATAATTAAAAAGAAATTAAAAAGAAAAGAAAAACAAACCCAGGGCTCCAGTGCGCATGCTTATGAGTGCGTCCGCGATGCGTTCAACGTGGCGGATGCGGTGCACAACGCGGAGCACACAGCACGGCAGCAGAAGCAAGTAAAGCAAAACACAATCATTATTTTCTATTATTTTAGTACATCGGACAACAACACACGCACACAAACCCCGCGGTTGGGTGCTGGCACGCACAGCCCGCACACACCTCTTCAGCCCACAGTGGTGTACGCCAGCGCGGATGCGGCGAGTACCAGCGGGGCACACACCCACGCAGAGCTGCTGAGGCTGCCGTCGATTTCGCGAAGACGTGACGGTGCGTGGGTGGTCGACACAGCCGGCGCCTCTGTAGTCGTAGTACTTGGTGCCTCTGGCGCAGTGGTGGTGGTCGTGGTTGGTGCCTTTGTTGTGGTCGTCGTCGTGGTCGTTGTCTGAGTAGAAGTTTCAGACACCTTATTTGTTTGTTTTGCGGGTGGGTTGTTGCCACGTATTGGCCCAGACATGCCGTTCTTAACTTCTTTCGGATCTTCCGTATCTGTTGGCGGTTCTTGAACGGTCAAAACTTCTCCCCCTCCAACAGTTTTTTCTTTTTCCACAACTGGCTCCTTACTTGACAACCCTAGATGACCGGTCTCCTGTGGTGTCACTGAGGGGGGGGTCAATTGACTGGCAACGCTTCCATTAGCTCCAGGATTAATTGATGCCGGTGTTGTGGTCACCTTTGAAGAAGCGGCAGCTTCCTCTGAAACGCACACGGACGGGCAGCAGCACAGGGCAAGCACCAACAGGGCGCATAGCAGACGGCACGTCATCATCATCGTGAGTGTGGTCGTTCAGTGGTGTGGAGCTGATCTGCACAGTGAGGGACATGGAGAGCAACAGGGGAGACGAGAGATGCGGCAGACACACACAGAGGGCACACCACATGAGGAGAGGGCAGCAGCCAGGCATGCACCGTACGCCGCACACCACGCACGACACACACTCCAATCCACGGCAGCAGGCACACACACACACACACACACACACACACACACACACACACAGATGGAAGAGGGAGAAGCAAACAGGAGCGGCACACAAGGCTCCACCGCATGAACATACGGCGAGAGCGGTCCGTCGTGTCGGCACCCCTCACGGAGGGTGCGCACACACACAAGAAGGTGCAGCGCACACAGCAACACGAAAGCATAGTAACAATAAAAAAGGAGATCCCCGCACACCACGTGGATTGTTGGTCCACGGGAAGTGCAGGCAATATTTACCACAAAGCAACTTGTTATCTTGTTTTGGTTGTTTGCTGCTACAATAACGAGTGAGTAGCGCAAGGGCCGTCCGTACAAAAGTGGCAAGTATTCCGTCTCAAACGGACCGTCGTGCAGGCTGGGGCAATCCCACACAGTCGCAGTCCATATTCCCAACGACGAGGGCATTCCCGCAGTGGATGAGGCAGAGTCTCCCGTGGTCCGTCGGGGGATCAGCAGCCCGTGGCGTCTCTGATGAGGCGGTGGCGGAAGAGCCTGGTCCATCTCGAGTACCCGCCTTTGTGCTTCCTGCGTGTCTTGCCTGCTGGCATGCTTGGCAACTTCGGTGCCGACCTGCGCGCGAGGCACCTGTTAAGAAGACGGTGGAGCCATTGTGGCATCCGCATGGGAGGCCCTCTCAAACTATTATAACGCCAGGCTGAGCACGTCGGGCATGTGCCCTCATACTGTGGACGGACAAGTGCACTCTGCTGCAGGTTGGGCAGGAGGACGTCAATCCGCCACTCGCTGGTCGACAAGGAGTTGTGGTGCTCACGTCGGGAAGAGGCTCCGGCGGAGGCAGAGGCGGGCCGGTCACCGCAGTCAGGGAGGGACGGCACCACCGACACAGAGGGTTCCTTGTGATCCGCAGGGCGCGTGCAGGCCTGTCGAAGAGTGGGCAGGAGTCGCATCGCGCCTGTGCGCAGTGCCGCCACTCGGGGACCGATGTCCGGGTCAACACCAGGAATAGAGTCCTCGCCACACCGACAGGCGCCTGTCACGCGGTGTGCGCGGCTCCCTTTTCATCCTGCACATCCTTCCATTATGACCTCTTGACGGCGGTAAGGAAGTCCACGTGCCAGACATTGACGCAGTCCTGCGAGAGGGATCGTGCAATCGTGACTTCGTCGTCAGCGGCCTCATTGCGTGGAATACCGCAGTGTGATGGGAAAATATAAGATCCACAGGGTGAACTCGCTTCACCAAGGAAAGCAGCATAATCCAAATTTACTCAGTAACGCGGTCTCGCACGGTCGGTGGGCAACGCGGGGTGCCTCAATTGCCGAGAGGGAGTCCGTTTCCTCCAGCATTCGTGTGGGCGATTGGGATGTTCCCAGACAAGGAGGTATGAGATGTCTAAAAACATTTTCGATCGCAGGGCAGTCTGCCCTATATGAGCATGCGAGGCTGCCAGCTGCTGCACAATGTACCTCCACAGGGAGATCATTTGTCGTGGTGGAGTCATATAATAGCGCAGCGGATCCAGATGCGAGTGCAGCGAGATATGAAGAACCGTCCGTCCACAATTCAAAATCACAATCCCCCAAAGAGGAGTGAGTAGAATCAAAAGCCGTGCGCCTGACATCGTCAGAGGCGTCTTTGGCAAAGAGTGGCTGATAAAATCTCACTTTTTTGCAGATCACAGTGTCCCAGGGAAAAATTCGATGTTGGGCAAAAGGCGCGCGAATGTGGTTGTGGGGTGTCCCAATAATGTCACGGACGCGTGGCAATTCATTAATAACAGCATCTCTCGGAAGCGGGATCGATGTCGCTGCCTTCCCATGCATGGACGGCGGCATAAGTTGCGAGTAGATAAGGGAACGCAAATCCTCGTGATCATGGAAGCGTATATAGCGTTCGTATTGTGTGAGTGCACGACGCCAAAGTATCTTACGGAGCAGAAGAATATTGGCTTCCAAATAGACAGATGTGTCTTCCGTAGATGCGCTCAGGCAAAGAATGTTTTGCTACCGTCGCGGTACCGTACTTCCATATTATGGAGGTAGCTGGGGGCGAGTCACGGGAGAATTGCCTCGCCATTATGAAATAGCACACTATGAACGTGTCCAATCAAAAAGGATCGCATGGTGTGATGGGACGCGCCCGCCTCTGCGACCAGTCGGGGCTGATAGCGGCGTGGCATGGTCTTCTTTGAAGCGGTGGAAGCATGCGTAACAAAATTAAGAAGTCGATCAATCGTTCTGCCCAGTAAGCGCACTGGGCGTGACTGAATACGTAGGTTCCGCTAACAAGATGAAGATCGACCATTTCCTCGTCAGACCGTGTGTGTGTGAGGAGATGTAGAATAGAGCAGCTTCGCTCCTAGCGACGTTGATTTTTAGGCTGTGCTCGGCAGCCCATGTGGCCACAAGAGACAAGAGCGGTCGCATTGCCGCAGCACAGGCATGGATGCCCGCACCTGAGGCAACAAGTGTGTGTTCGTCAGCGTACATGAATGCGGAGGCAGAATAGATGTTGTCGAGGCGGCGCAGCAGATCATCCACACAGTAGAGGAAGAGTTGGGGTCCCGGGACGCCGCCTTGCGGTACTCCAGCTGAGGCGAGTTGTTTCCGGGAGTGCTGTTCGCGAGTGCATACCCTAACATAGCGGCCCCGCAGGTAGTTGTGCAGCCAGCGTTTGGTTCGAGGGCCAAGGCACGGAAGTCTGTCAAGCATGCAGAATAACTTCCCATGCTCAGTGATGTCGAACGCAGTCGGAAAATCAATCGAGACCACAAGCGATGGCGACGAGGGTGTCGTGTGGGGGCGTCGTCTCCGGGGCGCTCATACTCCACAATGCCAAACTCATTCAATCCACGGGTAATTTATCGATAACAAGTCCCACCACGTCCGACGTAGAACGCGGAGGTGCAAATCCAAAATTGACGTGGGTGGTGCGGCAATAACGCTGACAGACGGCGGTGAATCATTCTTTCGGTTAACTTTGGTAAAACAGAGAGTGGAGTGATAGGTCTGTAACTCTCTGGGCGGCATGGATCCTTCCCAGGCTTGGGGATAGGAATAGCGTCTCCCATTTTCCAGGAGCCAGGCAGGCCGCCATTTGCGAAGGAGTTGTGGATCATCGTTCTAAGTGTGCCACGCGCAACGGGCCCGAGACGGTGCAGGAATTCATTCAACATGTCGTCGGAGCCAGGGGCTGAGCCAAGCAAAGAGTCACGGATGGCCACGTCAAGTTCATACGGCAGGAAAGGCCGATCCATTTCCCAGCCACCAGGAACCAAAGGAGTGCAGCAAGCAGCAGCAGCAGTATAAGGCAGTATGGCACGTGAAACCGCACAAAATGACGGACAAGCAGATTTGCCTGTTGCCGAGGCAGGGCGCATACGCGGCCAAGTTCAGTGCGGAGCACAACCGATTCCAAAGGATGAGGGTTCGGCGCCGCCATGCCGTGAAGATATCGCCAGCTCGGGCTGGGTGAGGCTCCAAGTCTTTCCGCGCGGGCTTCCAAAAGCACAGCGAAGCAACGGCGTAAGGCTTGATTTCGTTCCTCCTTTTTTTCGGGTACATTCGGCTCAAAGTAGGCTGTCTCCGGGTGAGGCAATGTGTGTGCTTCGTGTGCTGCTTCGGCGGCGGACTCGGCTTGTTCCATTTCGTGTGTCCATATCTTTTTTGGAGCTGTCACGGCTGCCGCGCGGGATATGGCGCTCAGCTGCTCGTAAGATGCCTCCGCGAAGATCCAACCATGTGGACGCGGTGGCAAGGAGGGTTTCACACAACGATGTAAAAGCAGGCCAATCCGCTTTACGCAGGGCAAAGGTGGCTTTCGTCCGTCAAGGCAGCGTGTTTGCTAGTCGTGGAGTGCCATCATCCATCTCTACCAAGTAAGATATTCAGCAGTGGTCCGAGTTTATGTAAGGGGCGAATGTCCAGTGGGAGATGCGTAGGGCGCAATACGCAGTCACGTCAGGGGACGAGGCATTACGATGTGTGATCCGTGTTGCCTGCGTCGGGTCATTTGCCAGCCCAAAATCCATATCGATCAGAACAGCGGCGAAATCATCGCCTCCAGTCGTTGATGGTATATGTGACTGTCCCAGAGTTCACGATGTAAATTCAGGTCACCCGCGATAATCTCTTCGGGCCCAAGCGACAAACGATATTGATAGATGCGGATTATTGACCAATTGTTGTGGGAGGGTTGTAGAGATTCGCCACGCAAATGTTGGGACAGCCTGGTGGAAATACACGGACAGCAATGGTCTCCAGGAGGTCAGTGCCAGCGAGCGACAGGCGCTCGCACGGTGGAGAGTGGCGCACCAGAACGGCAACACCACCACCGCGCCCAGTGCGGGCCTGAAGGTAGTCATTATGGCCAGATAATTTCGTCGCAACGTCACCACGGTTATTTATTTCCTGCAGAAGAACGATGTCAGGTGGACGCTGCTCCAATCGCGCAGCAAATGCAATCTTTTTCACGGACGAGAGGCCTGCAATGTTAAGCTGCCTAATATTGATGAAGCCATCTTCCTTGGTGCCATGGTTCTTGTGGACGTCACCGCCACGGGTGATATCAACGGAGTGACCGCTGCGAAACGGTCGTGCAGTTCTGTCCGACAGTCTGCAGGCAGACCGCCTCACCTCCCCACACCGGGCATGGCGTGGAACCTTCTCGAGGGGTGAAGTCACCTTGGTCTCCGTCGTGCTCGCAGAAACGCCCTGCTGCGGAGTTCCTATACGCAACCAAGGCCTCAGCACCGCGACAAGGCGCAACATCATCGCTGGGGACCGTGGATACTAGCAACGGACGGCGGTGTTGACGTCCCCAATTCAGCC